CATCCCTTCAGCTTCCATTCTTCGAGCTCCTCCTAAGGCTCCATCTTGCCTCTCCCTGTCACGGCTTGGCTCTTCCCACCGCCCCCCAGCCTTAAACCCTGTGTTGTCCAGCTTCTCTGCCTCCTCTCTCATGTTCCTCCCAACCCAGCTTGACCTTCCCCAGCCTCTGATCTGGATCTCATGCACGGTCGGACTCCTGGGGTCCCGCCAGTCCTTGACCTCCCTTGCAGTGAGGGACCTGGTTCCCCACCCATGCCCACCCTTTCCATCTGCCTCAGGAATTCCCACTCCCTTCCCTTGGAGTTCAGCTCTTTCTCTGAGACCATGGTCCTCCCTGTTTTCACACTTGTTTTTTTGTCCACCCTCCCTGTTATCTAATTCCCATTCTAAATTATATTCATTTTAACTTTTAGAAGCCAATGTTAACCAAATTACAAAGTCAACAATCACTAATTTCGATCACTAATTTCAACAGCCAACTCTTAACTGCGTGCTTCTTAGAGTCACACACTGCTTTACTTAATCCTTCTCACAACCCTGTAAGGTAAGTACTCTTCCAATCCTGAGTTCAGGGATGGGCAAACTGACACTAAAGCCCAGAGAGGTTAACTAACTTGCCCAAAGACACACAGCCACCCAGGGGTGGAGCTGGGATGGGAACCGGGGCAATCTGAGCCCAGAGCCAGGCCTCCTGAGCAGGACCACCACCTGAAATTGCCTCTCAGCCATCGGGACCATGCATGGATCTGGCTGAAGGCACGGAGGGAGCCCGGGAGTGGCAGGAGTGGCTGCCTTTGGGAAGCCGTGTCCTAAGCAGTGCTGCTTGGGCCAAGGAGATGGAGCTGTCAGGCCCAGTTCCTTGCAAGTGAATAGATCACTGACACAGGGCAGTTCCTTGAGGTGCTTGTGGCAGGGCCTGGTGATGCCCTGGGCTGGCCTTCTCACCTCTTCAAACTCTGATCAGGACAAGGGCTGGAGAGACCGGCTCATCACGCCATGGAGGGAGGAGGGAGGACAGCCAAAGGGCATGCTATGTGTGTGTGCAGTGGGTTTTCAGTGAGCAGGAGGAAAGGCAGAGACACATGAAGCTCCCATTCACCTCCAGAGATTCTGCTTTTGACTCGGTCCTAAGAGAATCCGAGAAAAAGATGCTTCACGAAACACTGAAGTGAGGGGACAAGTCTCTGAAGAACAGAAGGTTTCTCACTGTGAAAAGCAATATCTGATTTAAAAATAAAGACTACTCAATGGTATGGTTATGAAAAGCCAAACTTACCCCCAAGCTAGCAATTCTACTGGGTTCACAGGCTTCTAAAGAAAGACAACAAAATACCTGAAAGCATCCTCCTCCCCCTCCATCTCCTCTCTCCAGACAAGAGTCAGAATTCTTCATCTTTCTGTGCCTTACTCTCCTTTGGGGCATCTAGTGAAGCCCAGGAACCCATTCCCAAAGGGAGTAAAATAAAATGTATCAGATTATAAGGGAAACCAGTTACCTTAAAATACATAGTTATTAAAATTTTTCAATTTGATGTAGCAATTTATGTCCTTTTATGTTAGTATATATGGTATATATACTCTACAACTTACATATCTTGTATGTCAGAGAGTATACGTCATATATTTATATAGTTAGAAGTATAAGCTACCTTACTAAGTTATTTTGCTTTTTTTAGAGTGAAAGAGAGAGAGAGTGGGTGAGCAGGGGGAGAGGCGGAGGGAGGGAGGGGGGGAGAGAGAGAGAGAGAGAGAATCCCAAGGAGGCTCCACGCAGGGCTCAATCCCAGGACCCTGAGATCAAGACCTGAACTGAAATCAAGAGTCGGATTGATGACTGATGGTGACTGAGCCACCCAGGCGCTCCTGTTAGTAAGTTTTATATATTAGTTATAACTTATATAATTTAGTATATGTGGTGATAATGTACTTATTAGCATATGATACACAAAGATCTAGCACCAAGTCTGGTAATACCATAATTTCTAAGTAAATGATATTTCCAGATAACTTCCATACTACTATGTGACATGAAGACATCTGGAATTTTTATTGAGGACAGAGTCACAGGTATTGCTAATGCTATTACCATGGTTTGTCGCCCTCATAATTGAGGGAATTGCCGAAGTTCAAGTAGGGGTTAGTAGAAACAAAAATGTAAATTGTCTCCACCCAAGTTCAGGGGTGCTCTGAATTTTAATCAGGGGCAGCCAGGTTAAGAAAATGTGTTCTAGAAGGATGTCAGGATAAGGCCAAGGCTGAAATGGGGGGATCCAATGGCCGGTAGAAAGTAAACCTTTTAGAAGGGGATTTTTCTACCTCGGTGGGTCACTAATCATCACAAGTCAGCCTGCCTATCCTTCTCATACTGAGCTGACTTTTCACCAAAAAAAAAAAAAAAAAAAAAAAAGGCACTTCCTCTTGGCCAGAGATGTACAGAGGGCCTCCCATGTCAGGGCGCAAGCCTGGGCCACAGAGAGCCTTTTTCCCACTGGTGTGCAGTTGGGAGGCTGAGGCTCTGCTCTGACAGCTCTCCTCAGCCCTCTCTTTACTTCTTGCTTCATTTTTAACTAGTCTTCAGAGTCATTTGTACCTGCAGCCTACTGCCAATTCCTCAGTTTTAATCCTCCCAGGTTAAGTCATAAGCCATCAGGAAACATATTAAAGCAAAAAAAGACTTCTGAAATCTTTTAAAAAGTAAGAGTAGCCCCTTCACAGCAACAGTTTAATTAAGGGAGGTTTAAGTTATCTTAGCTACTCTCAAGAGTAGAGAGGAGTGAGTACAGAGAATAGTGGTGAACAGTGGGCTCCAGGCCACTTTCCAATCCATAACTCCAAGAAGTCAACCTCCTTTGCACTGCCCCTGCCCCCTTATGGATAAAATAAAGATAATTCTTTAAAAGAAAGAAATCCAAAAACTTCCTATGTGGCAGTCACTATGCCAAATGGTTTGCCTTCCTTCTATCACTTTTTCTGCACTGGAAACCTGTTAAGAGAGGTATTCATATTCCCATGTTACAGATGAGGAAACTGAGGCACAGAGAAGATAAGTAACATGCCCAGGTTGACAGAGCTGGTGGGTGAGCAAACTGAGATTCCAGCTGAAGCCTATTAGCACCACTGCCCCCAACCCCCTGGGGAGGGGGCACCTCTGCTGCTGGGATTTCTCAGGAATGCTGGGCACCTTTACTTCCTCCCATTTCAATTTGATAACACTATGTAGGAGAAAGGGCTTTGCCGGCTGAGTGATGCTGTGTCAGGGATTTCATTCTTTATGGGTATCAGTCTGGGTACTTCCTTACTTTGCCACAATGGCATGCCCACCCTCCCAGTCTGTCCAGGCCTGCAGCTGTGGGGCTCAGGGGCAACGTGCTACCATGAAGGACTGAAAGAATCCAACTCCCATGCATGCAGACAGAAAAACCAACACCGACCAGTAGGACGTCCACACTGGGAATCTGGGCTCTTGAGTAAAATGTGCCCAGCCCTCTCATCTGGGCTTACTGTTTCTTGGTTTTTGTTTTTTTCTGGTCCACATAATGCTGGCTGGAATACAGGTCCATTCTGTACCCCAAGAGCACTTCTACTCACCTTTCTTCCTTCGAAGACTAGCAAGTATAAAACCTCCACTTATTTGTTCCCTGGTTATTCAATTATTTCAAATGGACATCATTTTTGGTATCTGGTATTTGAAATGTTCTGCTCTGAGAAGCATAGCACCGCCTTCAGAGAAGGTCTTCTGTTACCAGCTCCATCACCAAACTGCGTTGAAGCCAGAGACAAACATAAAGTAAGGTTCCCTTTAACTTTCTCAAGTCCTTATTTCAAGTCACTGGACCAGGAGACTGTGGGCTAGAAAGGACTGGACTCATTCAGCCACTTATTCATGATACCAACTATGTATTGAGTGCCCACACTATGCTGGGCCCCCGGGGATGCAATGAGGAACCAGCACACATGAGCCCAGGGCTTACAAACTTGGGACCAGGGGGCACATGGTGGGAGCAATGCTCTGAGAAGGTGACATTTAAACTGAGAGCTAGAGGCTCCGTGGAGGAGCACCCAGGGCTGGGATAGACGGGAAAGAACATTCCATGCAGAGGAAGCCACATGTGCAAGGACCAAGGGGAGAGCTGAAAAACCAAGTGGGGGCAAAGAGGAAAATAAGAAGAACCCTACCCACTGATGAGAGCGGAAACCAAAACAAACATCCTTGGGAAATAACGCGTCCTTAACTTGGTAAGTTCCCCTGACACATACCCATGCCCCTGCAAGGCCACTCCTGGGTACCTGCACCAGGATGCTCTTGCATGTTTATCCCAAGGAACAAAGGGAGAAGCAAACAAAAGACTGTCGGGGAGACAGACTTGGGGCAAAACTCATAAGCAAAGCAAGGAGATAATAAACTCCTAATTCAGGAGAACAGTTACCTCTCTGTGGAGGGGGCTGGCGGGGCCAGGAGGGGGGGCACGGGCAGGGAGAGGATGGAATCAGAAAAGATAATAACAAGGTTCTTTCTCCTAAAGCCAGGTGGCAGGCTCACAGGCATCCACTGTGTTGCTATTGTTTATGCCTTATACATATTTTATCAGTATGTTTGTATCTGCTCAATATTTCATAAGAACCACTACTTTGTATCTGAGTGCTGTGTGGAAAATCGATTAGTGGGGTGAAAAGGTGGAAGTGGGGAGAGCTACTGGAGGCAAGGGCAGCTGCTGAGACAAGAAGGAACAGCGGCTGGGAGTAGAGCGGGGATACGGTAGAGATGGAGGAAACTGCTTCCAGGCACATTTAACTTGTGATTTTCAAACCGGGTTTGAGGTTTAATTCCAGAAACATTTCTGGAGGGTGTGATGGGAAAAATGAGCAAGAGGGGTTTTATTCGCTTATTTACTCAATCCCTTGTTTTTTACAGATGTGTAAATCAAGACCCAGAGAGGAGATGAGACCAATCAGGGCTGCACCGAAATCATGAACACCCAGCCCTCTCCCTCCTTCCACCCAACCTTGTGACAGAACACAAACTCCCATTAGGATACACTCGACATTCAGTACCGCACCGTGGGCATGATCAGTAGCTGAATGTTGACAGCATGTCGGTCCTTGTCCACAGTAGGGATGGCGTGTCTTACTCCCACAGAGACTCTATCAGGAGAAAAATATTTAATAACTCCTATCTCAGTACAGTGAAGTTAAATCCAATTTAGTGGTTTTGCAAAAACTTGAGGCTGGCAAATCAAAGTAATGAATACAAATGGCATTCCAGTTATGTTTATTTTACCACAATAAAAAAGAAGGTTTTAATTGGCATTCCAAAGAGCTTGTTGAACTTAAATGCTTAGCCATTGAAAATTAGTCTTCTACCCCCATACACACTGATAGCTACATCTTCAAAAACCAACTTTTTTCCTTCTAACAATATTCATGTAATTGAAATGTGTATTCCCTTTGATCCGGTGATTCCACTTCTAGAAATGTATCCTACAGATATTTTCATGCATAAAGGCAATGATGATCTACAGATAAGAATGTCTACTCAAGCAACATTTGCAACAACCAGAAATTTTAAATATCCTAAATGATCATCAGTGAAGATCTGGTAAAAATAAATTATGGTACAGCTATATAATGGGATTTTACAGTCATTTTTTTAAAAGAATATTTATGTAACTGATACTAAAAGCTCTCCAAGATCTTTTTTTTTTTTTTAAAGATTTTATTTATTTATTTGACAGAGACACAGCGGGAGAGGGAACACAAGCAGGGGGAGTGGGAGAGGGAGAAGCAGGCTTCCTGCAGAGCAGGGAGCCCGATGCGGGGCTCGATCCCAGGACCCTGGAACCATGACCTGAGCCGAAGGCAGACGCTTAACGACTGAGCCACCCAGGCGCCCCTCTCCAAGATCTACTTTTGAATGACAAAGAGGAAGGAGCTATGGTGTGCCACCATCTGTGTTAAAAAACAAACAAAAGTTATGTACACATACACACATGTATATTCATAAGGGCATATGCATAATATATATGCATTCCTATATATATGATATGCATCAAGGAAGGACATCCAACTAATTCAAAATACATAATTTTATGATATAATTTTTACTGTATTTCAGGGCATGTGGGGCCATAGTAGGCACATAAATTTTCTTGAATGAATAAATTCCCTACATGCTTTTTATAAATCAACTTCCTGGTGTGTTTTATAAATCAAACTTGACCCCAAAATGTCATCCAATTTTTTCTCAGACATTCTTTTTATTACCAATTTAACACTGTTCTCAGATAATTTAGGAAAGCTGGTGAGGAAGAACCATCCAAAAAGCAACTCCAGCTTCGAGTCTTTCACACAAACCTATCCTGCAATAAAACCAACAAGGCAGACTTTCCAGCAAGAAAAGTTTTTGAATGGTGATTATTTAATTAAGAGGTTAAAAAGGCACATGCCGTTTTCTGTTCACACAAAGGCGATAAGGTTTCACCCCTTGCCCACACTCACACACAGTAGCCCTGCGGCATACTTCTCCATGTATGTAATGTGAACCCAAGCTTTCTGCCTAGTCTGCTGGTAAAATGATAGGGGCTATCAAAGGAATTAATCGTATCCCTTCATTCTATACCCTTTAATCCTAAAATAAGCAGTTCTAAATGCATTCCACAACAGCATATGCACTTTTTCAGAGGGTGAAATCAGTGCTCCATGATGACATTCCTGAAATGTTCCAAGTTATTCCTCGATAGATAATGGTGCAGATGTACAGAGAGGTTGGAACTATAGGGGAAAAAAGTACTCTCACTTCAATACTTATTATAACCATGTATAATTGAATTTACTCTAGTAACTTACAAAAACTGAAGGTTTCAGATGAAGTCATCCCTACCTCAGAACAATATATTCTGGAATAGCACACTTGCCCTTAGCAAGCACTCCCAAAATTTAAGGAAAAAAAAAAAAAAAAGATTTTGGATTCTCAATCATTGGGAACACAGTGCCTATCTTATTGCTGGAAATGACAGTTCTAAATCTGTCCAAGTAGTCAAAACTAATTCTTGACCCTGGGGCAGAGGCTAATATAATAGAGCCTTTTATCCAACATAACCAACACCTGTAGTCCAGTTGGGATGAAATTCTGCTGTGGTTGTCTGAAAATCCAAAATAATAGTGGCTTAAACAAGATAGAAACAAACTTCTCCCTCATGTAAATACAGTCTGGAGTTATGCAATCCAAGGCTACTATGGAGTCTCTATGGTCACCAGCAACTCAGGCAATGCCGGTCTTGTTCTGCATTCCTCCACACAGGGCTTCCATCTAATGGTCCAATATAGCTGCTCAAGCTCCAACTGTCACATCCACATTCCAGTGGGCAAGAAGTAGGGGTACATGCATTTTTTTTTTTAAAGATTTTTATTTATTTATTTGACAGAGAGAGAGAGACAGCAAGAGAGGGAACACAAGCAGGGGGAGTGGGAGAGGGAGAAGCAGGCTTCCCACTGAGCAGGGAGCCCGATGCGGGCTCGATCCCAGGGCCCTGGGATCAAGACCTGAGCTGAAGGCAGCCGCTTAACGACTGAGCCACCCAGGCGCCCCACGTGCATTCTTTTGAAAGGTACTTCCCAGAGGTTGTCCTTACTATTTTAACTTACATGCCTTTGAGTGGAGCTTAGTCAAACGGCAACCCCCAGGAGTAAGAAGGGCTGGGACATACTGTCTTAATTCTCAGGCTGTCTGCCAGACAATATTTTACAGGTTATATCCCTAAGGAAGAAGTAGATGATGGATGTGGGGACAACTAGCAGTGTCTATCACACTGAGGAATCACAAAATAATGATACATACATATCTTAATTTTTTTTCTTGAAATATATAGCCATACATTTGTTTCTAGGGAGGGAGGAGATTTTGCCTATGGGTTTATGGAACAGAATGCCTTTTATGTGATGCACAAAAGAAACCTATAATCCATCTTCTTCAATTTCAGTTTGGTTTTAGAGGCATGTCATAACGTAAAGATGCTCCAACAAATCTAGGTCCTTTTACCATCTCTGCCTCATTCCCAGTGTTTTAGAATCATTTTGCCCAAAACCTAATTCAACTGGGTTGTTTTTAGTATTCATCACTGGGTTATTTCCAAGAACCGAGCTTCATTTTCATAGAAATACCAGCTCTTATTTCCGTTCACATCTTTACTTCATAGATTTATGAAGTTCACATACGTACCTACAGTCCCAAGAATAACAGGCATGAATAGATTTAGGAACAAACAAATTCACTCCTGGTAATATACAAGTCTACAACACAACTGCAGGGATCAGAGACTGAGTGTCCTGAAAAAGGACCTATTAACTGGATGTTTCACATTGAGGGAATGGAGATCTTTGGTTTATCCAGCAAGGGGATTGAATGAAGAACTCCCCTCCAGTTTGTCCTTGCCAAAATCTTCTCAGTTGGCTGTTTCAGCAAGAAAGCCCTAATAATGCTATCATCGTGTGTTAATGATGATGGAGCCCTTCCTGATTCATCTATCTGCCTCAATCTCAAGATGAGGGAAACTGAGGCCCAGAGTAGTTCAGTAAGTTTCCAAGTACCAGAGGTGTGCTCTGCACTTACCAAAGGCGTTTGCTGCTTGCAACACTTTGCATTACTTCTCAGTGGGTGAGAATGCCGTTGGCTTTGGGGCAGGACGACTGTCCCTGTGATGGCACAGAGTCCCAGGCTAAAGAACGTTTAACAACCCTGTCTCCAGCCCACTAAGTGTGGCCCTTCCAACTCACTGTGACAAGAACACAGAAATGCAGTCATGAGTGGCCAGATGCCCACATCCCTAGACGGAGACATGATATTTTGTTGTAGTTTTATAGCTGTTTTCCTGTTGTCTCCTGAATCACATGATCACAGCTATGGATCTTGCTCTACCCACGGACAATGCCAAATCCTAAGGAATCTTAAGAGCTCTTTTAATCTTCTCGACAGAAGTGAACAAAGCTTAGCTCAGACACAAGAGTATGCATACTATTTTAATAATTCCTAGGAAAGCAGATGCTATAGTTCATGGAACACAAACTTCACCATTCTACACAAATCTGTTTTCTAATAACTATTTATCCCGGACTCAAGTAAACAAAAACATGAGAAATGCTAATGTCATTAAGAAAACAAATAACGCTTTTTCATACATCTGCCTGATGAGATCCTTTGTTCAGTTTTCTATTGAGTCATTTCATATTTTTCTCATTAGTTAGAGCTGTTTCCACATTTTGAAAAATTATATCACACATCACCAATAATTTTCCCAATTTGTCTTTTGAAAATTTTGAAGTCATTCATGTGAAGATAATCTTCCTTTATGACTTCTGGGCTCTAGGTCATCCATTCATTTATTCATTCATTCAACAAATTCTATCGGGATTTTTGCCATGCACCAGGTATTTTTCTGAGAGTTGGGGAATTAAACAAACAAAAAAAAAAGACATGGAACAAAAGATTCTTATGAAGTTGAAATTCTTGTGTAGACTACAGTAATTAAATCTAGTGCAGATCAAAATCCAGATAATCCATTAAAAATGTAATGTCAGGTCGTGAAAAGGGCTCTGGAAAAAAACTAAGAGAGGCAGGGAAAAGGGAAGGGCTGGAGCACTATTTAGAATGGTTAGGAAATGCTGCTCTAAGAAAACACTGGAAAAGAGGCCTGGAGGGAAGCAAAGCAACAAATTGTGTGGACATCTTGGGGGGCTGGGGGGAGGGGGTATGCCAGCACGGGCAAATGCCCTGAGGTGGAAATACGCCTACTGTGTTTAGGGACCAGCAAGGTGGCCAGTATGGCAAAAGGGTATGGAGTGGGGGGCAGAAAAAGAGAGATTATTTGAATTTAGATATGTCTTTTACTTTCCAAATTTGTAAAAGCATTCGTCCAAAAGAAAATTTAATTTTTTTTTGATGTTTTGGATCTCTCTCTCCTTATTGCAAATGGAAAATTGCTTGTCCTAGCACCTTTTGTTGAATCTTAGCCCACTGCTTTTACAGGTCACCTCTCTTGTACACCACTGTGCACAGAGACTTGGATCTAGTTTTGGAGGCGTCCTGGTCTGCCTCAAGGATCACTTCCTGCTCCAGCACCACATTTCATTTCTGTAGCCTTATGATGTATTTTACTATCCGGTGGGGCTAGAACCTCCTAAATCTTGAGTCATCTTCGCTGACATCAGACCTTGGCTGGTTCTACTTTCCAGCCAATGAAAGAGCTTGAAAGTTCCTTTAGTAAATTCCATGGCCCCTAGGTGATAGGAAGGAGGAGGAGGCCAAGATTATACTAATGCTCAAGTGGGGGTGGGGACCCTCTCTCCAACTTAAACTCCTAGCCCTCAATATCAACACCAATCACTTAACAGTAATCTAAACTGCTTCATGATAAGAAAGCTCATTGACTGCTAATGTGGACAGTCATTTAAATCATGTTTATCTGGTCTCTCCATGTGACATTAAGTCCTGGAGGGCGGGGCTATAATGATTCTCAAACTATATTCTCTGGGCCAGCACTAGCACCAGCAGCACCTAATTTATTAGGTGGAAATTAAGCACCAACTGAGAGCTAATGAATGGTAAACTCTGAGCAGGAAGGGCGTAGCCCCACCACTGTTTAGATCCCTCTGGAGCTGGGCAAATAATATGGTGCTCAAAAGCCCACACCACAGTCAGAGTCCTAAGATCTAACCTTGGTTTCAATACTAACAAATTGGGGGACCTTGGGGAAGTAACTTAAACTTGTAGCATCCAGGTCTCCTCTTTTTTTTTTTTTTTTAATTATTTATTTATTTGAGAGAGAGAGAATGAGAGAGAGCAAGCACATGAGAGGGGGGAGGGTCAGAGGGAGAAGCAGACTCCCTGCCGAGCAGGGAGCCCGATGCGGGACTCGATCCAGGGACTCCAGGATCATGACCTGAGCCGAAGGCAG